TTTTTTTTTTTTTTTTTTTTTTTTTTTTTTTTTTTTTTTTTTTTTAATTCTGGCCCTTGCTAACTTTCCTGGGGTGCCCGGCCGGGCACGCCCCGGGGCGCCTCGCCTGGGTATCCCGGGCATGAAAAAAAATCCACTGAATTTTTTAATTGTTTTTTGGTCTGCAGGGCCTTGCTGCGTTTTCCGAGTACAGCCCAAATCTAGCCTCATTTCCTTTTTTCGGCCATGTTGGTTTCTGTGTGTTGCGGGGGGTGGAAGAAGAAGGGAACTTGAAGATGTGAAGGGAGGAGATGGCGGAGGAAGGAGAGAGGGAGATTATGTGGAGGGAGGAAAGACTGATGGAGGAGTAAGAAGAAGAAGAGGAAGAAAAGGTAGACGAAGAGACGAAAAGAAGAAAAAGAATAGTTGAGATTAAGAAGAGGATGAAGAAGAAGATGATGGAGAAGAAGGGAAGAAGAAGGGCAGAAGGAGGAGGGAGGGAGCCTTTGGAGGGAGGACGAGGGGGGAGGAGGGAGGATGACGGCTATGGCGAACAAAGCTGAACCATTCAAAAGAAAAAAAAATGTTGATTCATTGATGAAGTTCATGAAGCAAACAGGAAGGACGAAGAGGAGAAGAGACGACAAGAAGAAAGACAAGAAGAGAATATGTGACGCGCCAGCTTCCGGACCTGTGCTATCTTCCCCCCCCCCTTTGAATTTTGGGTGACCATCCGATGAGGCCTCTTTTTTTGTATTTTCATGGATGTAATATGTGGGACCCTCGGATCAACTTTTGAAAATTTGTCTTTTGCAAATTCGGGAATAACATGGGAATTACGCGCGCCTTAGCGAGCGCGCTAGGAATTTGGGTCGACGGTTAGGAATTTCGGAATAAGCAGAATCTGACGTGTCCTTTCTTGCGCATGAATGTTCTCAACTTTGTCTTGGAAAGCTCTGGGAATTTTTACAGAAATCTGAATAGGCATAGGACTTTCCCCCGCGCTCGCTCTGCCACGCGAATATTGTACTTTTCAATTTGAATTAGCTGTAACTGTTTTGGTGCCTTTTTTGCCTTCGCGACAGCGCCATGCATACGAGCCTTCCCTCCCCGCTTCCCCCTCTGCCCTCTACACTCCCTCTTCGCGCCCATGCTCCTTCTCTCTCTGTAACCGTTTTCCATCTCCCCTTCGCCGTGCGCTCCTTTTCTCTCCTTCTTGATCGTCTGAATCTTGGTTCCATTTCACATTATTCTTCGCGCTCTTCTTCTTCCCGCTCGAATCCCCGCACAAAACGCCCTGTCGATCCCCTATCACTCCCTCTAGCTAAAGGGACGCGCCGTATAAGAAGGAAATTTCTGATACACGACGATTCTGATTGGCCGCCGCGGGGGAGCCAAAGAATCAACATGGCTTTCGTCGTGCAATCCCTGAGCCTTCTCCCACTCCTCACTGTCTCAGTCCTAACCCTTCCTAGCATCTATCTTCTTTTCTGCAGCTATAAATTCTGCAAGCGCTCCTGAAAATCTCTCTCTCGACTCATCAGTCCACTTCCAGGAAGTTGTGGCTAGATGGTATGAAGAAAGGTGCGAGTCGAAAAGTCCCGACGAGCGGGCTGTAGTTTTGGAGCTCGGCATGCTGGATCGCCCAACGGACTATGGAATTCGAGCAGGGCCGTGTAGAGGCTAAGTCGGCGGGGTGACGATCGCTATGGTGGATTGGCACGCGACGGCCGAGATCGTCAGTGCAAGTGACACGTTTTGAGTCGGAAGTAAGTGAGTGCATGACTTCGGGCTATGGTGGAACTTTATGGCAGAAGTGCTTTCTTTCCTTTTTGCTCCAAAATTTGTATCTTCGGATGTGAGTGTTGATCGCTCGACTTTTAAGACGGGACATCTCTGAACCAGATCGCCTGACATTCTGTGATTGTTTTCTACTCATCCCTCCCCCCGGGTCTGCGTCCATACTCTCTCTCCCCTCTAGTCACGACATGTCATAATGGATGAATTATGGTAACCTTACTTCTCTCACTTCAGTATGCGCATGCAATGAGTTGTGATAAGAGATTGTGTTGTAGCATGATCGCAGGGATGATTGGTTGGGCGATTGAATGATCGGGTTGCCTGGAGTGTCAGAAGAATGATGCATGATTAAGATTTGTGCCCACCTTTGCTGCCATGTGGACTGACGGCCCCAACCCGACCGGGCACCAACTTCCCGTGCCCCCGCCGCACCCCTTTCCATACAATGAGGAAAGGACACGTGTATGCGAGTGGGACATACGAGAAGCCGTCACCAAGATCGGAGGGCGTTACTATTTTCCTCCCGAGAACCGGTATTCAGGATTCGTTGGTGTGGGTTTTGTTATCATCGATACACATTTCCGTCATATTCGTTGTTATTGGCCTTCAACGAATTGATCGTCGTCCCGTGGACGACAGTGGAGCCTCATTGGCCTAACACTCTGTGCAACGATTGTCGTCGCCTCGAGCATTATCAGGCCAAGGGGTTCCACTATCGCACACGTGACGAGGACGAACACAAAGAAAATGCCACTCGGTTGAGGCCCTCCACGTCGGACACGGAGTTGTGTAACGAGCGCCGACGAGACCTCATCCGAAAATGGGATACCACGTGTGCCAGTGTACCCGCCCCCTTTCACGCGAACCGAAGAGCAACGGCTCGTTGGGATGTCCAGCGATACTTTTTGGATTGAACTTCCCATAAGCGAGCCCCGCGCGTGCCTTTTTCTCCCTTAAGACCCGCACGGCGACGGACCTTCTTCTTACTACAATCGGACCAACACGGGGGGAATTTCAGTTCTGTCTGTGTCCCCGCACTCAATTTTCCAAAAATCCTTGGCACACCCCATATTCGCTGTCTTTCCCGGGCCCCCTTCCGCAAACCAAAACGCTCCGACCAGGAAGCAGCGCAGGGCGTGAGGTTGAGCGTCAGACAAGAAGAGAATAAAAGAAAGAAGAACCGAACAGGAGGAAGACGAAGAACAAGAAGATGATGATGATAAAGAAAAAGAAGCAGAAGAACGAGTGGAAGAGAAATAAGATACGATGAAGAATAGTAATGTGAAGAAGAGGAAACGACAAAGAAGATAAAGAAGAAGAAAAATGAGAGGAAGAAAAAGAAGAAACGATGAAGAAGAACAAATGATGAAGAAGAAGAAACGACAAAGAAGAAAAAGAAGAAGAAGACGAAGAAATGAAGGAGGAAAAGAACACGAGGGAAGGGAGGACAGAAGAAGAGGAAGAATAATGAGAAGAGGACGACGACGAAGAAGAAGACGACGACGAACAAGAAGAAGAAGAAGAAGAAGAAGAAGAAGAAGAAGAAGAAGAAGAAGAAGAAGAAGTAGTTGGAGAGCGGCAGGGCAACCACGACCCAGACGGTCGATGGCATGGCTGGAAGGCGACGACGATGGCACGGTTGGAGGGCGACGACGATGGTGCAGCTGGAGGTCGACGATGATGGCACGGCTGGAGGGCAGCAGGATGACGACGAGGATGGCTTGGCAGGTCGACGACGGCGCATACGTCTCCCCCACGGCAACTGGTGCAGTCGAAATGCAGACCGCAGAGGGCAGAGGATGCAGGGACGCGCGTGAAGTCCTGGGATTCAAACTCGAAATCTCGGGACTTCGGCGCCGCCATCGACTGACGAAGATCGATGGCCCAAAGGCAAAAAAAAAGAAAAAAAGCAATAAAACGGGGCCTACCGGACCCCAAGAAAATTTGCGGCCGCCGCCTTCTTTTTTTTTCCCTCTAGGCCGTAGTCTCACGGTGGAAATCTTTTTTTTTGGACGTTTTTGGGGGTTGGCGCTGAGGGGGCCTGGGTGCCTGACCGGGGGGGTTGCACGGCCGGGCGCCCCGAGCGCCCTTCCGGACGACCCGGGGGGGGGCCGGGCACCCGAGCTGGAAAGCTAGGGCCCTTGCCAATTTCTGAACTGGTTTTCATTCCGGACCCATCAAAACACCGGCCAGGAATGAAAACCTCTCCAACAATGAGAAAGACCAACCCCACCGGCGGCCCCACCCCATCTCTGATTACCGCTGTTGGGCGGGGGGCAACATGAATTAACCTCGTTTGCGAGGCCCTATGCTTGCAGGGGTCTCCTCTATATAGTCTTAGGAGTAGTGGTAGGAAGGTAGTGAAAGGCGAAAAAAAGAATTTGAGAAGAACATAGGGTCTCGTTAGACACTCCTAAAAATGCCTGTTTTTAGGATTGCGTCCTCGTTGCACATAGTCCTAAAACGAAATCGGAGATCGAAAATGTGAAAACGGCGTTAGGACGAGTCCTAAAAGATTTAGGATTCCCAGGCAAAATCGTCCTAAATTTTCCAGTAGCCCCCTACCTACTGAAAAATTTAGGATTCCCGCGTTCCACGGAGTCGTTGCATCGCGCGCATGGCACCGTCGACAGTTGTTGGTGGTCCAGAAGTGGTCCGTCGAGTCGGTGGTCGGACATCGGAGGTTTTCTGCGGCTCGACGCAGGCAACGACCACACACGGTAGTCGTTGGCAGAGGGGGTGGAGCGCGGAGGGCCGAGCGTCGGCGGGTGGTTGTCCGTACTGGACCGTTGGGTTGCGGGCGAGATGCGGAGCGGGACGTCGACGTGCGCAGGACGGCAGACGGAGCCGCTTTGGGCAGCGCAGGCTGCAATGGTCAAATTTCAAACGGAAGCCTGGCGTGTTCGTCGCCTTCTGTGGTGGTTGTCCGCATATGAAGGTCGAGCATCCCTGTCCCGGGCATGTCGGAACACAGATCTGCAGTGGTCACGTGCGAGGGCGGCTGCAAAAGTGAATTTCATGGCTGACGTGCGGAGGAGATTGCCTCTGCTGGTACTCGCTATCGTCGTCTTCGTGATTGTCGTCTTCCTCCACGTGTGTTTTTCGTGGCGGCCGTGGAAACAACAACGCAAGAGGAGGGCTTCGACGAGACGGGCGGAAGGCGAACGTCTAATGGCATGCATGCAGGCATGACCAGTTGCTGCCGCAGGTCAGGGAGCAGTTCGATCTTCTGCGGCGGAGCCTCGAAGGCGGTACGACCCGTCCATGTACACCCATCTGGAGTCGTGGGACACACCATTGCCCCCGCCGGACGAGGAGCCGGAGAAGGAAGAACTTTCGACGTTGCCTCTCGCTAGCGGCTCGACTCAGTTGTGATCGCAGACGGTGCGCGCAGGCGGGTCGGCTCCCGACGAAGGGGGCGAGTTCACGTCATTGCTGCATCAAGGCTTGCGGGACGACGACGGCGGAGGAGTTGATCTGAGGTTCGGGTTGTATTCTGGCGGCGGCAGGGAGGCGAGCCGTACGTTCATCATCGATGGAGATCGTTCGGCACGTGGCGTTGAGCATGGTGGAAGTCTGCATACGGAACAGTCCACACTTCGTCGCGCTGCACTCGTGACTGGCGCGGTCGGGCCATCGCCAGCGGGACGGCAGCATGGATCGACTGCTCCGTCCGTCGATCGATTGACACCGACCTGGCCCGCACCCCCCAGGGTGGCAGGAGGGCCCCTGCGCATGGGCGGTGCACGTTCGCTGATCATGATGCTTGCGTGCACGACACCGATCGAATCTGGAGTGAGGGAGGAGGGAACGTGCAGAGCGCCGGTATGTCCACGACCCACTGTTGACAACATAACACGTGGAGTGTCGAACATGCGGGCACACAGCGATGGAGGCGAAGAGGACGTTGGATTCGGTGACGACGCAGACGAAGGGATGAGGGAAGACGTGGAAGCGGGGGACGACGACAACGACGTTCCGATTCGGCCTTTGGGGAAGATGGCTGGGAGGGGGAGAGGACGTGGCAGAGGTGGTGTCCGTGGTCGATCCGTTGGCCGTGGAGGCAGAGGTGGCGTAAGTGACGACGCCGGGAAGTCTCCGACGTACTGGTCTGTAGAAGACCAAATGCTCCTGGTGCGATGCAAGCGGGAGCAAGATATGCACCTCGCCGACTTGTCTCACAATTACGGGCGGATGAAGACGAAAGAGTGGAAGTGGGAGGACATGTCAAAGCGGATGGCGAATGCGGGGAGGCTGAAGGACGTTGACGACTGCATGAAGAAGTGGGACAATCTGTTCCAGAACTACAAGAAAATTCAGAGGTTTCAGAATGCCAGCGGGCGGCCAGATTTTTTCAGGCTGACGAACGAAGAGAGGAAGGAGCACAACTTCAAGTTCCGGATGGACAGGGCGATGTACAACGAGATCCACGCAGGCATGGTGGGGAACCACACGATTTTCCCTCCCAACGTTGCCGACACCGGCAGTCCGGATGGGGTGCAACTGCCCAGGCGAGGAGCGGGTGGCGGGAAGTCTGTTTGTAGCGAGGCGGCCGGTGAAGGCTGCCCTGACGACCCTTCTTCTGCGAGGGAGTCCGACAACAACGTAGGCAGCGGGGCGGGAGGCGGGAAGCGGAAGAATGCGCGTCAGCAGGCATTCGAGTCCATCTCTGATGTCATGGAACGCCATGGCGCACTGATGTCGTCGACGATCGAATCGTCTAGCAAGCGGCAATGCAGCATCTTCACGAGGCAATGCGACATATTGGAGCAGGAAGTTGCCGTCCAAAAAGCGCACTATGCGGCTTCCGATGAGACGCAGAGGATGATGTGCCAAGCATTGTTGGAGATCGCTGCCGTCATCCGTGGTTGGTCGGCCATGTAGGCCATTACGTGATGTGCTGATCAAAGTTGGTTCTTTGCCGTCGTCATCGAGTTCTTGTTTTTAATTTTCGGTTGTGAATTTCATGATGTTGCCATTGGCGATGCTCGTGGACGGCTGCCGCAGAAGCAATGCCAAGTAGTCGACGAAGAATTGGGGGCGGCGAGAGGGTGGGGTTTCGTGCGAACTTGGCGGGAGATGAAGGTCGGGTCCTGCGGTCATAACGAGAGGGGGGGGG